ATAAAATCAATCAAAAGAGATGAAGGAGGTCATTACATACTCATCACAGGTGAAACCCACCAAGATGAAGTGTCTATCCTGAACATCTATGCCCCCAATACAAAGGCATCCACATTCGTTAAAGAAACATTATTAGAACTTAAATCTCATCTAAAGCCCCACACAGTTATAGTGGGAGATTTCAACACACCACTCTCACCACTAGACAAGAATACCAGACAGAAACTCAACAAAGAAACAAAGGGTCTAATAGAAGTAATGACCCAACTGGGATTAACAGATATCTATAGAACATTTCATCCACATAAAAAAGAATATACCTTCTTCTCACCACCACATGGAACCTTCTCAAAAATCGACCACATACTTGGCAACATATCAAACCTCAGCAGCTACAAAAAAATTGGAATAACTCCATGCATCTTATCAGACCACCATGCCTTAAAATTAGAATTCAACAACAACACAAATTGCAGAAAACCTACAAACTCATGGAAATTGAATAATGCTCAACTGCACCATCCCTGGGTCAAAGAGGAAATAAAAAAGAAATTAAAGACTTCCTCGAATTCAATCAGAATGAAGACACAACATACCCAAACCTATGGGACACTTTGAAAGCAGTGCTACGGGGGAAGTTCATAGCCCTAAGTGCTCACATGAAGAAACAGGAAAACAGTTATACCAGAGAATTAACATCACAGCTTAAAGCTCTAGAACACAAAGAAGCAAACTCCCCCAGGAGGAGTAGATGCCAGGAAATAATCAAATTGAGGGCTGAAATCAACAAAGTAGAAACCAGGAAAACAATACAAAGAATCAATGCAACAAAGAGTTGGTTCTTTGAGAAAATCAACAAGATAGACAAACCTTTGTCCAAACTTACCAAACAGCAGAGAGTGAACACGCAAATTAACAAAATCAGAAATGAAAAGGGGGACATAACAACAGACTCTGAGGAAATCCAGAGAATCATTAGGTCATACTTTGAAAACCTGTACTCCACAAAATTTGAAAATTTAAAGGAAATGGATGACTTCCTGGACAGCTATCATTTGCCAAAACTAAATCAAGAACAGATAAGCAATTTAAATAGACCTATAACCCCTATGGAAATAGAAGCTGTCATCAAAAGTCTCCCAACCAAAAAAAGTCCAGGTCCAGATGGCCTCAGTGCAGAATTCTACCACAAATTCAAAGAACAGCTTATACCAATTCTTCTCAAAGTGTTCCACACAATAGAAGCAGAAGGGTCTTTGCCAAACTCTTTCTATGAGGCTTCAATAACCTTGATCCCCAAGCCACACAAAGATACAACCAAGAAAGAGAACTTCAGACCAATATCCCTCATGAACATTGATGCAAAAATACTCAATAAAATACTGGCAAATCGGATCCAAGAACACATCAAAACAATCATTCACCACGATCAAGTAGGTTTCATCCCAGGGATGCAGGGATGGTTCAACATACGAAAATCCATCAACGTAATCCACCATATAAACAAGCTGAAAAACAAAAATCACATGATCATCTCACTAGATGCTGAAAAGGCCTTTGACAAAATCCAACACCCCTTCATGATAAAGGTCTTGGAGAGATCTGGGATGACAGGGTCATACTTAAACATAATAAAAGCCATATACAGTAAACCAACAGCCAACATCAAACTAAATGGACAGAAACTCAACGCAATTCCTCTAAAATCAGGAACAAAACAAGGCTGTCCACTCTCTCCATACCTTTTCAACATGGTACTTGAAGTTCTAGCTATTGCCATACGACAACAAAAGGGGATCAAGGGGATACAAATTGGGAAGGAAGAGGTCAAACTTTCACTGTTTGCAGACGATATGATAGTTTACATCAATGACCCAAAGAACTCTACCAGGGAACACTTACAGCTGATTAACACCTTCAGCAAAGTGGCAGGCTACAAGATCAACTCAAGAAAGTCAGTAGCCCTAATATACAGATGATAAAAGGGCTGAAAGAGAAATCAGAGAAACATCACCCTTTACAATTGCCACAAACAACATAAAATACCTTGGGGTAACGCTAACCAAACACTTGAAAGACCTGTATCGTAAGAACTTTGAATCTTTAAAGAAAGAAATTAAAGAAGCCCTCAGAAAATGGAAAGATCTCCCATGCTCTTGGATAGGTAGGATCAATGTAGTAAAAATGGCAATCCTGCCAAAAGCAATCTACAGATTCAATGCTATCCCCATTAAAATCCCAGCACAATTCTTCACAGACCTTGAAAGAACAATAATCAATTTTGTATGGAAAAACAAAAGACCCAGGATAGCCAAAACAACCCTGTTCAACAAGGCAACGTCCGGAGGCATCACCATCCCTGACCTCAAGCTCTATTATAGAGCTATAGTCCTGAAAACAGCTTGGTATTGGCACAAAAATAGACAGGTAGACCAATGGAATTGAATTGAAAATCCGGGTATTAACCCACACACGTACGAATATCTGATCTTTGACAAAGAAGCTAAAAATATACAATGGAATAAAGAAACCATCTTCAACAAATGGTGCTGGCATAATTGGAGACTGGCTTGTAGAAGAATGCGGATCGATCCATGTTTATCGCCATGCACAAAACTTAATTCCAAATGGATCAAAGACCTCAACATAAATCCAGCCACACTGAACCTCTTAGAAGAGAAAGTGGGTGGTACCCTTGAACGAATTGGTACAGGAGACAGCTTCCTGAACATAACACCAGTGGCACAGACAGTGAGATCAACAATTAATAAATGGGACCTACTGAAACTGAGAAGCTTCTGTAAGGCAAAGGACACAGTCAGCAAGACAAAAAGGTAGCCCACAGAATGGGAAAAAATATTCACTAATCCCACATCTGATAGAGGGTTGATCTCCAAAATTTACAAAGAACTCAAGAAGCAAGTCTCCAAAACAGCAAAGGACCCAATTAAAAAGTGGGCTGCAGAACTAAATAGAGAGTTTTCAATAGAGGAGTCTAAAATGGCTGAGAGGCACTTGAGAAAGTGCTCAACATCCTTAGCCATCCGGGAAATGCAAATCAAAGCAACTCTGAGATACCATCTCACTCCTGTCAGAATGGCTAAAATAAAAAACACCAATGACAATTTATGCTGGAGAAGATGTGGTGAAAGGGGGGACACTCCTCCATTGCTGGTGGGAGTGCCAACTGGTTCAGCCACTTTGGAAATCAGTATGGACATTCCTCAGAAAAATGGAAATAAACCTACCACAAGACCCAGCAACTCCACTCTTAGGCATATATCCAAAAGATGCCCATTCATACAACAAAGATGTCTGTTCCACTATGTTCATAGCAGCTCTATTTGTAATAGCCAGAACTTGGAAGTAACCTAGATGTCCCTCACCCGAAGAGTGGATAGAGAAAATGAGGTACATCTACACAATGGAGTACTATTCAGCAGAAAAAAATAATGGAATCATGAGATTCGCAGGCAAATGGATGACACTAGAAGAAACCATCCTGAGTGAGGTAACCCAGTCACAAAAAGAGAAACATGGCATGTACTCTCTCATATATGGATTTTAGACATAGATCTGGGGAGTGCCAGCCTACAATCCTATGGCCAGAGAGTCTGGGAAACAGAAACTTCATTTAGTGGCTGGTTAAGTACTGAGCTAAACTCAAGAAAGCCAGTATCAGAGAGGGAGGACTGATGATCAAAGGGATTAAGACTGGGCTGGTTGAACCCCCAGAAACAGCTGACCAGACAAAGGTTAACTCTTGAATCCCAGGCATCAGCCTGGGAATCCAGCATGGGACTGATCAAGACCCCCAGAATCTGGGTGTCAGTGAGGAGGCCTAGTTAATCTATTGAGCCTTGGACAGCAGATCAGTACCCATACCAAGTATACACACGGACACTGGACTCCCATAGAACAATGTGAGGTGCACTCTCACCCTGAACTCTTGGGGAAGGGTCTAGGCCCTGCCCTATATGAAATGACAGACTATGGACACCCCCATGGAGGGACTTACCCTCCCTGGGGGAATGAGGGGATAACAGGGGGGGGGTATGGGGGGAGGGCACGGGAGGAGGGGAGGGAAAGGGAGAGAGAGGGACCTGGAACTGACTTGTGAAGCAACCTTGTTTCTTATCTAAATTTAAAATGGAAAATAAAAAAATATTAATAAAAAAGTTTCCTTTAATACAAACTAAATAAACAACAACATTAAATGAATCATATATGTAGCTATGGCATGTTATGCTGACCCTCTGGCATTTATAGAAAGAATGAAATAAACAGAAAAATGTAAACCAAAAAAAAAAAAAAAAGAAATGACAAAACTCTGTCTTAGCCTCCCTCTTCCCTGTCACCATTTTGCATGATGTCTCAACCTCTAAGTCATTCTCTAAACTTCACCTTCATTAAACCCAGGGGAGATATAGCACAATCTTAATGCTGAGCATCTACAAACAAAGCTCTTTTGTCTTCTTGTCCCACAATGCATAGAGCCTTCAGACAGGGAATGCCAATGTCTAGGTCTGTAGGAAGAAAATACACTCCAAAGTAGCACACACCTGCACAAACTACTATCTTTATAAATCATCCTCATGCTGTGTTTGGGGGGAGGAGAACAGCTTTTCTGGGTGAAAGTTTAAAAATGGTTATTATTACTAATACTGCAAATATTCCAATGCAATGCCTTTCTTCTTATAGTCTCCCCTTTGAAAAGGTCAAAAGTCTTCTTAGACAAGCTGCCACAGTGTTGTTCTTCTTAAATGGTTCTGGCAACATAAGAGGTCAAACCCATGAAAATAGTTTTGATCCTGACTAATTTAACCGTGTCCACTAGCTGCATTTGGTGAGAACTACATGCATGCTACCTAGACGAAGTCTAGGGGAAGAGACACATGTGCCAATCACACACTTAGCATCTGATGTTAGTTTCTCTGTCTACAATTATGCCTATCCCACTGGTCTATAACTTCCTTGAAGATGAATCCTGGCTCATTTACCTTTGTAATCCCAGCCATATTTAGGACCTGGCATCCAAAAGACACTCCATGGGTGAGACAAAATGTCTTGCCTGGGAAAAGAATTTTCTCATTTAGTTTTCTGTTTATGTTTCACCCTTGCTACAATGTAAAGTCTTCACTCACTGCTTATTCCCTGTGATCTACTGACTTGCTGGCCTAGTGAAAGGATTTCCCTACATAGTCAGCTGCCCTTCATACCTTTGCCAGCCTCCCTGCATGTTTATTCCCGACACTCTAGCCTGCCTTCCATCTTAGTTTACCGTGCCTTCTGGTCAAGTCTGGTTAAGATAGCTCTTGTTGCTATTGTTGCTTTGAGACTGAGTCTTACGTGTAGCCTTGGCTGGCCTGGAGATGACTGCGTAAACGAGCCTGGGTTTGCCTGCCTTTGTCTCCAAAATACTGAGATTAAAAGTATATGCCACCACACCCAGATAAAGGTTATTATTATACTCCCATTAGCATCAACTTTCATCCTTCTGTTTTTTTTCCTCTTTTAATTACAAATAATGATTAGATAAAAGACAAGCAAAGCAATCACTTTGGTTAACTGGGTCAAAGAGATCTCTTCCATCTTGTGTTCCTGTTCTGAAAACATAATTAAAGCCCTGACTAATTAGTATTAAAGTAACCTTAATTAACTAACCTAACTTACCACTAATCAAGGGAATGGGTCTTCTGAGAGATCACGGATCATTTTCTAGGCAGTACACAATATAAGTTAATATAAAGACACACCCCTATGGATACATTCATTTAAAAAAAATTAAAACTCTCCATTGTTGGGAGAGCAAGTTGGAGGTTACTTGCTTATTTATTTATCCTCTGCTTCTTCTCTCAAAGAACTGGACTCAGAGGCTATTATCTTGCATTTGTATTACAGAGCTCTTGCCATGATTATGAAAGAAGACGGTATTTAGCTTGCTCTTAGCGGCTCCGGGTCATTAGTGAGCCCATGATAATTACCCTCACAGAGTAATGCAGAGGCTTCCAGCTCTGATTTGAGCATTACATATAGTGACTTAGCAGGAGCTGGCTTCCTCTGTGGACTCCTGCTCCCTTGTTTGTAAGATGAAGCCATAGCTCTTACCATCCTGCAATCTTCACATGTTTTGTTATTCTAGGATGAAGGATCTCTACCCATAAGTCCTCTAGCCTGCAAGCCTAATAGATGAAGCATCTGCTCTACAATTTAAGGAGTCGTTTTTATGACTGTCAACAACTATTTGGTCCTTTTGAGAGTTTACCTTAGGTAGTCTTCCAAGGCTTCTTAATGAGGAGGCCTAGAAACAAACTGCCTCCAGAAACTAATACCAGGAGCACTTGTGTCATCCTGACTGAACAATGACGTCTGAGTTCCACACTCTAGGTCTGTGACATAAGAGTCTGTGCCATCTGACATCTGACATTTGTCACTGGTATGCATGCATTTCCAAGTCTACATCCTCATTACAGATTTGGAGTTAGAAGGTTAACAGAGAAAAGCATTGTGAAGCTGCTAAGTGTGCACATACCACTGAAGACAGCGAAATGAAGGACCAGAGGACCTAGCTTCCTCAACTCCCTCGTTTTCCTCAAGCGGGCCCTGTATCAACCCCCAGGTCACTCCTGATTTTTCCATAATAATAAAAAAAACCTGTGTAACTGTTGAAAGCCTGGAACTTACAGGGGAAAGTTACGATGAAGAGCTCATGTCTGAGGGAGGCTATAAACTCTCTCATTTGAACAGGCTTAGAGCAAGTTGTTTTACTTTCAGACTGAGACTACTCAAAGGCAATCTGGGAAGAGCCTGGGGGGAGATGGCTGTCAGCACCCTTGTGGCACAGAGTTGCCCTGCTCCCTGTTTTGCTGGGGGCACCCTTTGAGATGGATTCTTCTGACAGCTCCAAGTGATGTAAGCAACAGCAGAGGAACATAAGTAGCCCTTGAAGCAGAGCCCGCCAAGCTCCATGCTTTCTGTTAGCACCTGCGTTGATGCCAAGGCTTCTTTGTCCTTCACTACTTGTACGCCATTTAAGGATGATAGATAAATGAAAGGAGAGTGAATGAAATTGGAAGTATTTAATGGACAGGTGCATCAAAATACTTTCTTCCCTGTCCACCTAAATCAGTAAAGGTTTCATTCTTCTGTGTAGGGCCTTGTTTCTTCAAACACCATTAACAAAGCAATTATTAAGCCTCAGTGTCTGAAGGGATTACTCAGAAAACATGACTATATAGATTCATATTACTGTGCCTAAAAAAATCCTAATTTGACAAACCATCTACAAATAGAGGAATGTAAACATTAACATATCACACACACACACACACACACACACACACACACACACACACACCCCTACACAGGGCTACAGACAGGGCACAGGGTCAAAGTTGGTCTGTACTTTGAGGGAAAATGCTATATAAAGATTTTTGCTTCTCTACTGTGTCCTTTGCCTTACAGAAGCTTCTCAGTTTCAGGAGGTCCCATTTATTAATTGTCAATTTCAGTGTCTGTGCTACTGCTGGTATGTTCAGAAATCAGACTCCTGTACCAATTTGTTCAAGTGTACTTCCCACTTTTTCTTCTAAGAGGTTCAGTGTGGCTGGACTTATGTTGAGGTCTTTGATCCATTTGGACTTAAGTTTTGTGCATGGTGGTAGATACAGATCTATCTGCAGTCTTCTACAGGTCAGTATCCAGTTAGTCCAGCACCATTTGTAGAAGATGCTTTCTTTTCTCCTTTGTATAGTTTTAGCTTCTTTGCCAAAGATCAGATGTTCATAGGTGTGTAGGTTAATATCAGGGTCTTCAATTTGATTCCATTGGTCTACCTGTCTATTTTTGCGCCAACACCAAGTTGTTTTCGTTACTATAGCTCTATAGTAGAGCTTAGTTCTTTTACTGTACAGGGTTGTTTTGGCTACCTTGGGTCTAAGCAATAGTGTAGAGGCTACCTTAAATGCCCTTCCCCAATAATGAGATTGATTACTATCTTATATGCCATCCTAGAGCCTTTATCCAGTGGATGATGGAAGCAGAGGCAGACACCCACAGCTAAACACTGAAGTGAACTCCTGGAATCCAGTTGCAGAAAGAGAAGAGCGAAGAGCAAAGGCATCAAGACCCGTCTGGTGAAACCCACAGAAATAGCAAGGGGGAGTTCATGCACCCCAGACTGATGGCGGAGAGGCCATCATGGGACTGATCCAGACCCCCTGAACATGGGTGTCAGTGAGGAAGCCTCAGCAGTCTATGGGGCCTTGGGTAGTAGTAGATCAGTATTTATCCCTGGCATATGAATGGACTTTGGGAACCCATTCTTCATGGAGGGATGCTTTCTCAGCCTCGACACATGGGGAAGGTCCTAAGCCCTATCCAGGATGATATGACTAACTTTAGAGATCTCCCATAGAAGGCCTCACCCTCCCTGGGGAGCAGAGGGGTGGATGGGCAGGGACCTTGGGGGAGTTGTTGGGAGACAGGGGAAGAGGGGAGGGAGAGGGAGCTGGGATTGACATGTGAAGTAAGGTTGTTTATAATTCAAATTTAAAAAAAAAGAAAAGAAAACATTTTTGTTTCTCTGGTTTGTTGCTCCTATATCAGCATCTTCAATTTTTTTTTAATTGCCATCTGTCTTAGTTAAGGTTTCCATTGCTGTGAAGAGATACCATGACCATGGCACCTCTTATAAAGGAAAACATTTAATTATAACTTGCTTACCATTTCAGAGGTTTAGTCCTTTATTGCCATGGTGGTGTGCAAATAGACATAGTGCTGGAAAAGCAGCTCAGAGATCTACATCTGGGTCCAAAGGCAGCAGGAAGACAATGCTATACTGGGCCTGATTTGAGCATCTGAAACCTCAAAGCCTACCTGCAATGATATCCTCCAACAAGTCTACACCTACTCCATAAGGCCTCATCTCCTAATAGTGCCACCCCACTATGGGCTTATCAGGGCCATTTTTATTCAAATCACTACACTGTTGAACCACCTTGGGATCAAATAAATAGAAATAAATGTCACCCAAATAAAAGAGTCTCATCTGGTTGCCAGAGCACAAATGGGCATGCCACAGTCTAATGTCAGCATTCACTGTAAAGATGTATTAACAAGGCAGGTACAGTTCTAGCATAATGATTAACAGACAAGTAGATTAATGGAACAGGTGGCAGATTTAAGAGATAGATCCAGACATTGAGGAGTAAAAGATGAAAAAAGAAATTCATTGACAGTCCAATATGGCAATACATGTCCTCATCCACCATATTAATAAAAGAATAATTCAAAATGGTTGGCAAACATACATATTAAAGAAAGTTACAGACTACTAGGAGGAAAGATAGATGAGACCCTTTGTGATCTTTTTGCAATAAAAGAATTCATAGGCTAAGTATGGTGGCACACACCTTTAACCCTGGTACTCAGGTGGCAGAGGTAGGTGCATTTCTGTGAGTTCCATTCCAGCCGGGGCTACATAGTGAGATCTATTTAAATATTTTGTAGATCTAAATTTTTATTTAAAAATTTAAAAGAAAAGAATTCCTAGATACAATACCAAAATAGAAAAAACAGATGATAGATGAAAAGATAAATGAAAGGTGGCTGATAATTAACTATAGAGAGACAGGTAAATGATAGTTGACATATGATAGAGAGATCCATTACTGATAACAAATAGATGATATATAAATTATGGTAATAGATGACAGATATGTAGATGATAGATATATAGACAGATATATGATGAATAGATACAAACTTTAGATACAAAAATACCTACTTAGATAAACTTTTGATAGGTATAAAATGCATAAACATATGTAAAGATGCAACATTATTAATTCCCTTTATAAAAACATAAATCAATCACATTGACATATCACTACATTCCTTTCATAATGGATATAATTTAGCAGACTAATCATATCAAATATTCACAATAATCTAGAAACCAAAATCTGTTTTATCAACTAAAAATATGAACTATGAATGGATAAGACACAAATAAATTTGTTGAAGGAAAGAGAAAGGCAATGAAGAGCTCATAATTTAGGGCTCAATTTACAAAATTTTAGAAAATGAAGTCTAATGTGTCCTCATAAAGGGTTGTTTAGTTGTCTACTGAGACTGGAAGATGGTATAGAAGATAGAAAAATTCATTTTAAGGGGCTCAAACAGTTCTTTTGGGAGTGCTATATATACTCATATTTTTATTTTCACAGTATCTTTATTCATTTATGATATATGTGACAAACTCATCTAAGTATATACTTTATATGAATATTATTCAATATCAACTGTCGTTCTGTAACAGCTTACATTGATAGTTATAAAGGTAGCTATTTTTAAAGATAAGGAAAATGAAATTAAGAAAAAAAACAATTTCCAAAAATCCAAAGTTAATGCAAGAAGGAAAATAAATGTTATCACAGCACAGTATCTGCTTCCCTGGTGACAGTTTCCATTGGTATATAAATACAAATACTAAACTCTGATTCAACTCAAGAGATGTGACTTTGTCTATACAGAGGAAAAAAGAGAACTGCATAATATTTTAATAAAAACTCTTGGAATCACCAGGCTTTTTGTCTAATCTATGAAATCAATGAGATCAAATTATAGACCTGATCATTACAGGAACAAATTAGTTTCATCCTGCTATTAGTTCACCTATGAGTGTATTTATCAAAAAAAGTACTTAACAGTGGCCTAAGAGATTCCAAGCTTTCTTCTAGGCTCCAAGGATACAAAGATGGATCTCAGTTAGCTTAAGGTTAAAATGTGTGTCAAATGGTTACTTACAATTTAATGTATGCAAGATTCTGTTACTAAAATTTAAGGACAATTTCAAACAACCTGAGTTCATAGTCACTATTCTAGAGCATTAACAGTCACCTGTGCACTAGCAGGTTGATGAGGAAGCTGGATATTCAACTGAGATCACCCAACACAATAGAATTGGAAATTTGAGAGAAGTTGGGTGTGGGTGTGGTGGTACAGGCCTGTAATCCCAAGACTCACGAGGCAGAAGCAGAGAAAGCTCTGAGTTCTAGGACATCCAAGAGAAACCCTGTGTCAAAAATAAAAAAAAAAAAACAAAAAGAAAGAAAAACTCCCACAAAATTAGGGGTAAGCATGAGATTAAATATTTAGAGACAGACTAGCTTGTTTCTTTGATTTAAAATTGACCTAAAATAATGTTCATACTAAAATAGAAAAAAGGAAGGAGGAAAGGAGGGAGGAATGGAAAGAGAAAAGAAGGAAGGAGTAGAAAATGAGAGATACACACAAACATACAGAGAGAACGAGAGAGAGAGAGAGAGCACAATATCCATTAATTGA